CAGCCAGTAACCAGTTCCTTTGCAGCCTGACTAGTCGCCTTGTCCGTGCTGTTTCTCAGCTTTCCGACAGCTTGTCCGATCTTTGTTTGCTATTGCGTGGCACCATCGTCGTGTAAGAAAAAAAGAGTCAATAGCTGGGCGTGAGATCGATGAGCAAGATGTTTGCACATGCATGGCGCACTCACCCTGATCACATCTTCTGATGCAGCCACGCCAGCTTTCAGCTTCGACAAAATTGCTCCGACATCTTTGAAGCGTGACTCTGCCGCCGCACTGACTACCTCCTCTCTCAGCTTGACGATCTCAGGTATTGACAGAGGCATGGCGCAGGTTCCTGATCGGATCTTTTTGCAGCAGGCTAAATGGACACCCTGGTGGCGCACGCATAGACGCGGCGCTTCCACCCCTCTGAATGCTGGTAAGAAGGCTGATTAGATGCGCTCCTCGCCGGAATCGAGCAGGAGGGGGCGAGGAGACCACTTATTGCTGTGGTCGCCAGTGTGGTGGAGGAGCTGCTGGGAACGGTGTGCGATGGCACAGGCTGTGACGTGATAGCGTGAGAAGTGAAGAGGGAAACGATGCGGTGGTGCAGGGAGGTGTGGAGCACATCGTAGATGGAAAGTCAGCCGGGTGCTTACATCTTTGAGGGAAGCCGCTACGCGGGTGGCTCTGGCAACGCAAGAACGAAGGTGCAATTTCAACATTCAAATTCGCGCCATTTGAAGCCGCCTGGTGCGCGGCGATTGACACGCCGCAATACGCGCTCACACGACCTTCGTCGCCAGGTGAATTTTAATTTGCCATATTTGCTGGTAGGATCACGTGATTGCAATTGAGTCAAGACGCGAAAACCTACCTCCCAAGGATTTCAGATGACTCCTCGGCCCGATCTCCTTCGCGAGGCCAGTTTGGTACTCTGAGAGGTGTCATTGGCCGCGTTCTCGGACGATCTCAGCGAGCCTCCGTGGAAGACGCCGGCCGCGCTACAAGTGGACGAGAAAGCACGCAGCGGGCGGATCACACGCGCATGCAACCCAGTGATCAATCTCCACTTGGAATCTCTGCGCCCCAAAGGTTTCTGTGAGGATGATGTGTATGTATTGATGAGCCGGCTTAGGACGAGATTTTTGCGCCCTGAGGCTGGGTATCCTGTGCAGGCTTGTCGATGTCAGCCGGAGCAGTAACGCTCTGAGGACTGGCCTGGATCGCCGCTTGGGCAACAGCCGCTTTCTCCGCCCTAGTCTTCGCCGACTCCAGAGACTCGACATAGCTGGAGGTGGTTAGATGGGGATGGAATGGATGGGTGTCAGCGCATGAGGCGGTGAATTGTACTCGACTCGTGCTCACGTGTTGGGGAACCATCCAATGCGGCCATCCCTCGTCCTACCTCGCCACCAACTGCTTTCCGCACCTGTCTGCGGATCGTTGCGACTAAGCACAGCGACGATATCGTTGGGCTTGAGCGCGAGTTCTAGAGGATCAGCAGGCTCATACGAATACAACGCCCGCACAAATTCCAGCTTGCTGGGATCCAAGGCTGCGCCGTCTGCTCCGGGCAAAAGTTTTCCTTCCGCAGCCAGCCGTGCTCTCTCCGCTTCTTGTCTCTGAGTAATGAGCTTGACGAGCTTGCCCATTAGGTATGGTAGGCCAATGACGGCGAGGAAGAAGACGACCAGAGGCCTTTTACTCGGGCGAGCGGTAGATCCTTTCCCCTTTGCATTGGATTGGGCAAATTCTTGAAACTCTCGTCTGTCCAATTCGATCGCTGGAGCTCGACCGGTGAGCCTCCGCACGAGATTTCTCAAATATCTCGCTAGGGCAAAGATGCTCAGCACTTGGCCGAGGTAATTCCTAAGGGTGGCGAACTGATCTGCGACGCCAACCATAGCGAAGAAGCTGCTGTGGGTGGCCATGAACGTGCTTTCTAACATTTGGGCGAACCCTCCAAACGCTCCCACAATGCTGCTGATGAGCTCAAAAGTCGCTTGCGTTCCCGACTCCATGCGCTGGGTCAAGGAAGGATTTTCCGGTCCTCCAGGTGGCATCATCCCTCCGTATCCGCCCATACCATATCCCCCCATGCCACCATACCCACCCATGCCGTAGCCTCCCATGCCGCCGTAGCCCATGCTTCCATATCCACCCATGCCTCCGTACGATCCCATTCCTCCCCCATATCCACCATATCCCATTCGGCTGTAAGGAGATGAATAGCTGGATCCATAGCCGCCCATACCACCGTAGCTGCTGCCGTAGCCACCCATACCACTATATCCGCCGCCGTAGCCTGAAATGTATGTTAGATACGCGGACACTTGCCGTCAATAGGTGTACAAGACCTGGTCGACAACGAGACCTGACTCACCTCCCATACCGGTGCTGCCCAGTCCACCCGCACCAAGCGTGCTATTAGCAGCTCCAAGCGTCGACGGCCTCTCTGGCAGAGCTGGAGTCGAAGTCCCTGCGGCGGAGGTCGATGCAGGCGAGATCGAGGTCGCACTACCTGCGGAGCCGGAGCCTCCTTGCTCCCAGGGTTTTGGAGGTGCGGCTGGCATCCTGGCTTTTGAAGGAACAGTGTGGAGCGACTGGGAGGTGCCGCTGATGCCGTTCAAATGATTGCCGGTGGACGCTGGACACACGCCACCGGTCTTCCCCGACACCGGACACGACACGATGAGGCGAGGATCAGGAGGTGATGAGCTGAGAGTCTTTTCTCGTAGAAGTCAAGGTTCAGGACCTGAGGTTAGTTCCGCTGCTGAGTCGAATCCAGCGCCGATTGCGCAGTGGCGCGCTTTTATTCACGGAGAGGTTAGACGTGGCTGGGGCGTACAAGGTACCGCTTTTTCGACGTAGCAGATTGGTGTGCCTCACCTGGGAGCAGTGATAGCTTTAAGCGGTGATCGACGACATCATTGAGGTCGTGCGCCATGAGAATGCCTCTCAAATGCGGGGATGACTGAGCCCTGAGGTGATTCTGACAATCGTGAATCGGTGAGTGAGTGCCTTTGCCCGCCCGCGTCTGCATGCATGCAGGGCCGATGAACAAACCGACAGCCGACTGGGCGGGCGTCGCGCCCACGTGGGCTCACGGGTGCATTGACCTCCTGAATGAGCAACGAGATGCACTTTGACTCCACTGAGCGGGTCAAGAGTCTGGTGCTGCACCTAGCTGTTGCACGGATGGATGCATTCGCAACCCACGTCATTCGTGATCCACTCCCATACTTGACCTCCATCCATGCAGATCTGCTGGCGCGCACCATTGCCAGCGATAGAAACTCGCTCAGCCTCCTCTTGACACTCAATTCGAATCCGTCTGCTCCCTAAGGCAGCAAGCGACTCCAAGCAACCAGCGCTCATCCGAGCGCCCTAGCAACATGCCGACCGATGGAACGTATTGGCTCATCTCAGTGCCGCTTCAGGATGGCGATCCGCATCGAATGCACACAGAGTTGGCCAGCGCGGTATCCAAAGAATCTCAACAAGGTGCATCCATTGGAGACGTGTCTCTACCACCTTTGAAAGCCGGCACGCTCTCTTCACTCGTCAGCCTTGCAGACACCCTGCCCAAAGCGGTATCTGCGGGCGAGACGACTCTAAACAAGCTTTTGGAAACCTTGCGAGCGCTGCTCAATGACGACCAGGCCGCTCTTGCGCAGCACACGCTCGTCAGGGAAGGAGCTGTGGACAACTACGTTGTGGGCGGTTGGGCTTGGAATGCGGCCAAGTATAGAGTGGATCAAGATTTGCACGATGTTGTAGAAGTCATCAACAGGGAATTGACCTCGATCGATGCAATCAACAAGGCCAAAGTGAATGCATACAACGCTGCGAAAGGCCAATTGACTCAGCTGCAGAGAAGAAAGACGTGAGTCACTGTCAGAGCATCGCTTCGAGGTCGTTTGGAGAATGAAGGCGACCCACGTTGCTCATGCTATCCCAACTTCCGGCAGCGGTAACTTGAGCGTGCGGTCTTTGGCGGACGTCGTGCATCGGGACGATTTTGCAGACCCCAAATCGGAATTCTTGGATACTTTGCTGGTGGCGGTGCCGAAGTGAGCAAGCCTTAGGAGGCGTGGCGGCATGCGGGATTGTCCTCGCAGGCTGACTAGCGATATGTTTTTCAGGAACAACATCAAGGACTGGCAGTCCAAGTACGAGAGGCTGGCGCCTATGGTCGTACCTAGATCCTCCAAGTGAGCAGCATATAGTCACCCAGTGATTTCGGCGTTTGACTTACACGCAAGTGCCTAATCACAGAAAATTGGCAGCAGACGAGGAGTTTGCCCTTTTCAATGTCACTGTCTTCAAAAAGACAAAAGACGAGTATATTCAGAAAGCTAGAGAGAACAAGTGAGGGTCTTTGATTGGGCAGGAGTGGGCAAAGTTTGGGTCTGACTCGATCTCTCCTGTCATGCACAGATTCACAGTGAGGGAATTTGAATGGGATGAAGAGGTGGTCGAGCGGGAAAGACAGGAGCTGGAGGACGCTGGAGTATCAGAAAAGGAGCTCTGGGTGAGTGGCACCATGTGTTGCTGTAGTCTCTCGATGCTGCTCACCCTGCCTCACATGCGGATGTATGCTGTTCGCTAGACTGAAGTGCTCCGATTGACACGAACAAACTTTAGCGAGGCGTACCAGGCTTTGACTCACCTCAAGGTGGTGCGATCATTCGTGGAGAGTGTGCTGCGCTTTGGTCTACCAGCCGATTACTTCGTGGCTGCAATCAAAGTATGTAGCGCATGGGCTTATTGCTGCGGCCATGCTCATCTGATCGGAATCTTCCCTGTCTTTGCTTCTTCGACCCGTTCAACAGCCGAACCCAAAGAGGTCAAAAGCTTTGGTAGCCACACTCGCTTCCCACTACGCCCACCTTGCCGCGTACGACAAGAGGCAGTCAAAGAGCAAAAGTGGGGGAGGTGGTGTGAACGACGGAGAAGTCCCCGGAGAGTTCGCTTCTCTCGTCGAGGCGGAATACTACCCCTTCGTGCTCGAGGAGCTGCCGATCGTTGCCGGTTCGACTTGAGGTATGAAAGTTGGCTCTGCATGCAGCACTATTCGCCACTCTTTCTTGTTGATTCTTGCGCAAATGCATCAGTGTCATCCTTTTTACGAACCCTGAACAAGGGCGAGCTGGGAATCATGCGAGCAGGAAGACGTGGAGGCGCACATGAGCGCATGCGTGGCCCACCAAAATACTCATGAACTTGACCCACACTCTCTCGCGTACAACATGCAGGTCTCACGCTTTAGATTGTCCACAAGTATCCGGACAGCATGCAAGGCCAGCAACCTGTGCCCAGCTTTAGTCTTGACACATGAATCAGCGAAGCAGGTCGATCGCGTGGCCGCACAAAGCGCTCCGAACGACTCAACTGTGAAGCTCCTGCTGACGCTATATATGCTTCTCCAGGTGCACCGCGACTTACATCAGCTAGCAAAGGGGAGTTTGTCATGCAGGTCGCATTCAAACTTCAACGGCGCGGGACTGGATGAAGGAATACTACGTACCTGTACCTCCAGGGTAACTCACTATCGATGCACGTATTCGTGACTCAAGATCATGGAGCTCTTTGGAGACCACATTGCTCCACGTGCATCTGCGAAAGCACGATCTTGGATCAAATTCGTGCTTGCAGCGGCCGAGGAGGCCGTGGGGACACTGGACAGAATACAATCTATCTGTAAGCGTACAGCGGAAGAAGAGCTAGGCAAGACGGTGCTTGGTCGATGCCGTACTCGAACCTCGGCGAGTCGGGCGGGACCTGCAGCGAATCGCACCTTGTGTCAGAACCAGGGTGGACGCCCGCGGCGCGCGCGGACCCTTGCTTGCGTTCCATCTCACTCACGACTGGCAGCTGCTCATGCACCGTGCATCATCGCAACCTCATCAGCCTCTTCGTTGAATATTCTCATCACGCAAGCGTTACGCATCCGACGCAGAGCAGGCAGGCATGCAGATGCGAAAAGGAAGCGTTGGCGGCTTTTGCCCTGCCAAAGCATTCAGCGCACATGACACCATCCTCTCATTCAAACAAGGCTGCTCCTCTAAGGACTCGATGTATACGCCCGAGCCACATCAGCGCGTCTCAGGCCATCACATCTCCGGAATGGCGAGGACGAAGCGATTATAGGCTCGCTCATGTCTGCGTCACTGCAGCTGCAATTTTGTGAGTTACGGTCTTTTTGAGTGAGAGCATTTCATCAACCGAGACCACTTTGTCGCGCAAGAAGCACGAGTCAAAACCTTGCTTTCAACTACCCTGGCTCGTGTGCATATGCTGCGTCGATCTGTGCGGATGCTATGGTTATGGCCATACTACTCTTGACTCCCACTGCCAGTGCTACTACTACACTACTGCTCTGCTACTCCTGACTACATCCATCTGGTTTCTGATGATTGTCAATCTGACGCCAAAATCAGGGACCGGATCCAAGCCGTCGTCGCGTCCACGCCATCAACTGACCCGCGTATCCGCGCGGGTGCGCCCGTCGAATCGAAGAGAAGGCCAGCAGTTCCCGACGTGCTCAAGCGAGCAAGCATCACGCGCGCTCAAGCAGCAGGGACCGCGCTCGCGCACCTACCTGCCAGCACTCGCGCCGGCCCCCATTGTGATTCAACGTTCAGATTCACGTTTGGGGAAGGGCAGAGGAGAATTTTCGTCCGCGCTCGAATGCGTTGGCCGTCATTGCCCTCAAGACGCGTGCAAAACAAGGTTCTCGTCGGCCAACGCTAGGATTAGTCTGCGCGCCTCCGACTGCACATTCATCGCGGTACAAGTCGTGATTGTGTTGATGTCGCATCTGCTGTCACGAAGCACGAGTTCTGACAAATCTTACTAGCGCGGCAGGATGCTCAAGATGCAATAGCTGCGATGATCCATGCCAGCTATGGTGCATATGGGTAAACGATGGGATTGAGCAGCAGTCATTATTCCTTGATTTCGCAGTGATGGTGGAGCTGATCCGCGCGATTCATGCAGATGTGAGTGAGACTTTATCGCGCCCACCTTGATTGACACTGAATCAAGAATGGGAGGTTATGTGCGAACGCGGCCTCAGAGTGACCCAAAAATGCGTGAGTACTCTCCTGCAGTGCCGCTAATCAACGGACACTCGTCCGTGCTTATCAATCACGATCAAGAACGCGACTTGGGTGTGTGGACGAATGCAGATCGATATACCAGCTCGATCGCGAATGCTTGGCGCAGCTATATAGCTGGGTGATT